CGTCGCCGCAGGGCCCAGGTCTTCTGTTGGGTTACTGGTTCCGAGCCCCGTCTCAGGTGGGGAAGTGCTGATTCTTACCCAGGGGAGCGCTGGGTGTGCCGAAAGCGGCGGGCCAGTACGTGCGTCCTCTGGCTTGCCCCCCGGGGAGAGCGGCCCACACAAGGCGCCGTTATGTTGACCGCCGCAAAGTGCAGCTGACTGTAAAATGGAAGTTAGGTCTGGCCTATTAGGTGGGATAGCAGCAGTCGCTGTCCTGCAGCCAGCTGGAGGATGGGAACCCCGAGGATCACCTTGGAAGACCGCGGGAAGGGGGAACGCTGCCGAGTTTTCGTGGGGATTTTCGTATTGGATTTTTCCGTGGAAAGTCTTGTGCGGCCTTGATGTGCTGACTGTTGTTTATTATCAAAATTAAGCTAAAATCTGAATGTTAACACACTCTGTTTTCCATTAGCTGTCGTGAGTGGAATTGTAAATGCGTAAGACATATTTATAGATCTTTTAAATGGGTTGCAAACTTCCCAGCTTTTATGGACCATACGTTGAATAAGTAGATAATATAGCATCTTCCATCTCTGCATATCAAAAGATATAATTTAATACTGGGGGAAGGTGAAGCACAAAGCAGTGCTCAAAATCCAGATGTTTTGCCTCTCTGTGCTGTCTGTGAGGTCCAGTAGCACAGGTTTAAGTACAGACTGATATCTGGAAATATGTTTTGCTTAATCTCGTTTGTTTGCTTATTTGTGTAGCAGTAAATACACTTACTGGTTATCCCTGAATCCTCTTCCAGTTATTCATGAGTTAAGGTAAAATACTTACCTGCTTACTAAACACGCTAAATTGCTTGACTCTGCATTCCTGTTCTTGTCATTCTTGTCTGTATTCACGTCTTGATAAGCACTGACTTTTTATTTTGTAATGCCCAGCACAAGTCAGCCTTGCTCTGAATTTGGATTGTCATGCCCTCTCATAATATACATCTAAGAATAGAGTGACTTTTTCAGCTTTCACCTTACTTTGGAGAGATTTGTAAAAGTCAAAAGTTTCCTTTAATGACAATGATATTTAGTGATACTGCACTGTGACTACATAGTTGTTACTATTCTATTCATTCTTAATGTAACAACCATGTAAAAATCCATTCATCAAATCAGTCATATGATGTATTAATTCAGCTTGTTCTTGGAGAGATAACAGTATGGATTCCAACATATTCCAATACTACATGATTGTCTTAGATAATAAAGAAAGCTCAAAAGCTGGTTATTAAAATCTGGATTTGCTAGAGAAATGCATTTTTTAGCTTTGTTTGTAGGTCAAGTTGGTAATGTTGCACTACACTGTAAATCTACCAGTTCTATGGAGTGTTAGCAGAGGAATGAGCAAGAAGCTTGTGAGTTTAGCAAATGCCAGACTTACTAGTAAATAAGGATAGCAGACAAGAATCAGCTGTCGAATTGCTGTTTCCTGTAACTGTGAAGGCAATAAATTTGATCCATTCCTTACAGGGTATAAGTGTATAGTCAGTTGATTTGTAGAGTTTTAGGACTAATACATGGTAAAACATACCTTCTTGTGTTCTTGTTTTAGCCAGTCAGGTCATCCTCTTGTATGATGCATCCTGTTTTCAAATTGTCTATTTTCATGTAGGAAAAACTGTGAGCTTTTTTTTGTTTGTTTTGTTTTGTTACCTGTTTTTAAAAGCTAGATCTCTTCCTATAAACTCTGAAAGTTATATTTCTGCTGTCCCGCTCAATTTTTTTGTAGTATTATTTTAAACAGATTGGTTAAGGGAAGTATTGAAGATTTTCACGGCAGGAAAGCTGTAGTGAAAGGCAAGGCAAAATTAATTGGAAAGGTGTTGGGAACTAACAGCTTAGTATAACAGAGCATATAAAAGGCTGTAAGTTGTCTTTGAAAAATCAGACTGGTTGTAATATGGAAAATTCATTTACATGCCAGTGAGACATCTGCTATTGGGGGGGAAAAAGAGGCTGAGGAAATCAGAGTCCTGGCTCTTTAACCTGTTCTTCTCTTTTTTCTATAAATAGTTCACACGCCACTATTCACTATTTTTCTTTTGAACAAAGTTACTTAAAATACATACTGCGGTTTCAGGGTTTTTTTTCTTCTGATTTCTTTAAAGTTTATATTCACACATGAGAATTTTGTTGTAAATACTAACCGCCTTTGAATTTCTACTGAAATGTGCAATAAAGCTTGTCCTATGGAGTTAAATGTACAGCCTGCATATTTTATTGTGGTGGCAGCTAAAACGAACATAGTTAGACCTAAAGCAGGCTGGCACAGTCGGAATGTTTTATTCTAGGATATTTGTAGACCAAATATACAACATCAGAAAGCAGTGATGTATTGACAGAAAGTCACATCTAATTAAAACTTTAAGTGAATTTTGGCTGTAATTCAAATAAGCTAGTCCCTTCCTAAATTCAGCAGTGGCACTGCCCTCACTCTGAAGATCTCAATGCAAGCAAAGCAGTTTGTTTTAGACTGTGGATGAAAGTATTAAGGCTAGTACTCTTCGTGGGAAATGGGGGAATAAGGCTGTGAGAGCCTTGAAAATAAGGAAGAGGATGCACCGAAAGGTGCTGCAGGATAATACAAGTTTTTGATATGTGATATAGTAGTGATGGGAGAGCCGATGAAAACATGATCTGATTCAAAAAACAGGAAAAGAACACTGCTAGTGTTTCAACGTTATGAGTTTTATGTAGAATACAGCAGTCTTCAAGAGTCCTGGCTGCTGGAGGGGGAAGTTACTCTTAAGTTACTAGGAGTCGGCATAGTACAATGTAGTCAGTATCACAGAGAGGGGAGTTGTTGCACATTAGTTCAATGATCCCAGATTTTTTGGAATGACAGTTAACCTGTAAAACAATGAGGAAAAGAGAAATTAAATTCAGTTTAGGGATCAGTACAGTCGCTGCTGAACAATCACATGTATATCTCAAAGTAGAAACTGGTAAGCTGAGGCATAGCTTTGGTGTGATTTGCATACTCTGGCTACATATATTTAATTCGTTCTTCCCTGTCATCTGTGTTTGACTATTTCTGTTAAACTATCTCTTTTTTCTTATTTGTATGTAGAAGGACAGTCACTCATAACAACTCTTTTGTATGTATTTTGTGAAGGTTTCTACTACACTCAGGGTGGACACATTGGAAACAGAAATAAACAGATAAATGGCAGGATTCGAAAGCGTTTTGAAACAACATTTTTCCTTGAGCAAACTTTTATTCTTTGGGAAATGAAGTCCAATCCTAACCAAACAAAAAACTATAGTGAAGAAAAAGATAGAATGTTGGCCCGGATCCTGCAAATACTCGGGTAGATTTCTGACACGACACATGCAGATAGTCTGTGTCGTCAGCACATACATTTGCAAAACCCTGATCTGACCAAGCCAAGAGATTCCGGTGCTGTCAGATGTCTCTAGCTGCTGCTTTCCAGTGTGATTCTGTACTAATGTGTGATTCTGCTCAGTGGAACTCCGTAAAGGATATGGATTTTACATAAAATATTTCTTGAATAAGGGAACTGGTCTGATTTTTTTTTGTGAAGTACACTGATCATTCACATTCTGTGTAACGGAAGGAAAATCTTTAAAAAACACTGACATTACTTCTGCCAGTGCACCTACTTTTTAATAATGCTGCTTTTTATGATTTATTTGCTTAATGTGCAGTTTACAATCTTTTAATATATTTTAATGAAACTGGAGACATTTGAAATAAGATATGGTTTATATTCAGAATTTAAATATCAACTTACATGATCTAGCAAGGTGCTTACTTGTATGTAAGGGGAAGGTGGTTGTAAAGGAAAAATTTACAGTTCAGCATTTCTTCCACTTGGGTTCTGTTTACTCTGAAGATGAAGGAAGAAAAGTTTCTCTTCATTTTTATTTTTCCAGAAGAATTTGCGCAGACTAATAGATAGGGAAGATATGCTTGCACATATCTTTTTTTTTTTTTAAGTGAAGTGTTTTATAAAAAATTGGAAGGCTGCAAAATGGCTTAAGTTCCCTTTCTCTAGTTTCACCAACATAGAAAGGAAACTTAAAGCATAATGTGGCTTTTCTTAAAGGAGAGCTCAGTATTTTCTTGCCAATCTGGTATGTCAGTGACTGGTACTTAGTGGAAAAATACTCTTATTTATCTGAGATTTACCCTAGTAATTTCCAGCCTAGGGTGGAATATTAGCAAATTTTATCAGGCATTGTGTGTTGCTGGGAGGTATTGATATCCTCACAGTTTTCCTGTAGGTGTGAATCTCACAAGATTTTTACAAAGTGATCAGATAACAGTTATTCAGTACTGAAGTTAAATAGCCCCAGTGTATTTTGCCAAGGATGCAAATTCACCCTTAATGAAATTACTGGGAAAACTCTCACAGACTTAGCTCAGTTTCTAATAGAGCATCAAATCTATGTGCTTTGCAAATACCAGGTAACTCTTCAGGCTTCAGCAGGGCTATTATTCCTTCCTCACCTGGGCCAGGAAGTTGTGTTTAATGAGGGGCATGATACTGAAATATTCTATCATGCAGTAACATTCTTTGTAGGGATACCACTGCCAATAAAGGAGTGACTGCTAATTTATAATGTTAAGAAAAAAAGATGTCTGGAAATGTATGTCATTACACAAAAAAGCCCCCAGTAGATGGCGCATAGACTTGAAGATTTTTCCAGGGTTTCCCAAACCCCAGGTTGCAAGCTCTTTCAAAATGGTGCACAGCAGAAGCAGTTGTGCATGTAGCCAATTTACTCTGGAATCACAGCCAGTCAGCTGATTAACAATACCTTGCTGCTTTTTGTAGCTGAACCCCTAGCTCCTCAGCCTGCTGAGATACAGCAAACAACCTGTAGTGAAACCACCACCTTCAGGTCAGGATACATGAGTAAGAAGAAAACAGTGAGAGACACAGCTTGAAGCCTGAGTGGAATTAGAGGAAAGCATGGTTGTATGATTTTGATTCTAGGACTGAAAAGTATAGTGTGGTTGTGTTCACAGTTTAGGATGCATGTGTGTGTGATAGGAGCATGGGGAAGGGGAAGTGGGGAATGGAAGTATGCTTTCTACTATATTGTATGTAAGACCCACCAACAGCGGCTGCCATCCAAGCGAGCCAGGTTTGGTATTCCATGGTCTGTTCAGAGTTGCATGGTTTTCTTTCTTTATTTTTGATTTAGTGCTGTCTTCACTGGCCCCTGTTTGATGACATTTTTTTAATCTCCTAACTGGAAAGATCCTGTTCCTATTTCTTTTTTTAAGGCCACAATTAGACTTCATGACCTTGTATGTAGAAGGCATGTTTGTTGCAGGAGTTCAAACAACAATAGTGTTCAGCAGAAAGTTGGAGCAGTGGTACTGACAAGATTTTACTGGTCAAGATAGTTTCAAAAATGTCCGTCTGCCAGCATCTCATCTAACAGTATTTTAACAAGCTAAAATGAGGTAAATTTTCTTGATAAACTTCCTTTATTCAGAAAAGGCAATGCAGCGCTGAAATAATAGATGAAAAATAATATATTATGACTTTTGCTCTTCATATACTAAAGTAGGCTGCTGATGATTGAATTCATCCAAAAAGATAAAAACTTCTGATATTCTAAGTGTCATTTGGTTTGTAGTTGCTGAATATACTAGCAATTTTGGAAACATTATGTGTCCTCTCAGACATTTTTTTCCTCCGTATGAAAAAATATTGTTGAGTTATCCTTTTGTCCTATCATACCAAGATGATAGGATGATGTTTAGCATCCTGCGAAACACATAGTTGTATTATTCATAAATGGGTATGTTTGCAAGGCAGGGATATTATCTACATTTGTTGCCAACTCAATTTGTGTGGGACAAAATTAGGCAATCAAAGAAGGTCTTACTTCCCACCACATAGGTTTTTAAGATGAAGCCTGAACTCTTTTTCATAGCTTCAACAGAAAATGAGGTAGTGATTTCTGCTTGAGTAGTTAATAGTTCTGGAGATACAGCTAGAAAAAGGAAAATCTTGCTTTCTTCAAACCCCTGCCCCCCAACGCAACTAACCACATATTTCAGTAAGGAAGGACAGGAAAGACCAATTCCTTTTGTTAGACCTGCAGTGAACAGAAGGACATGTTTGAAAATGATGTAATATGAAAACTGTCATCTTGCTGTCTCTACAATCAGACAAGGTAGACAATAAGAGAGATACCTGCTATCTTTTCATTGCTTACTTGTCTCCTTCTCCTTAGCCTGTAAGCTGCTAAAAATAGAAGCATTGTTAGAAAATGCATAGCACTTCATGGACGCTTTTGAAAACAAACAGTGAAAGGGACTGTTACGGTTTTCAAAACTACTGTTTTGAGAAAGAGAAAAGACCTGATTTCCCACTGTGAGCAAATAGCTCTTCTAATAGCAGTTTATTTGTGATGCAGGTTTAAACTACAGGAAAGCAATTTCACATGATAGTGAGGACCCTATTCTAGTGGATAACAGGACAACAGAATTTTTCCTCCACTGTTGCTTCTTTTATGCAGCAGACAGAAAGATGGTGTGAGCTGAGAGAGCCTGCCTCAATGTCTGCAGAGTGCATACATAAGTAATGTCTCTTGCTTGTCCTGCGCTGGATATGAACAATGTAGAAAATGGACAAACTGGTGTTTCTTCCATGGCTCTCCTTCTTAAGGAGAGCATGGTTTATGCTACTCTGTAAGTTAACAGAAAACAGGAGAGAAGAAGCTCTCTCATGCAGCAATCTCCTGTAAGATCAAAGAAAACAATACTAGAAAGCCCAAGATACTAAAATAAAGTTTTCAGCTAATTTTGGTTACCTAGCTTTCAAAGATGCTGAGACTCCCAACTCCAACAAACTACAGTATGTAAGAAATGCATATCAAATGCTCCAGGAAAACATCAAACATCAGATGTCTCAAATCTCAAAATCTCTCAAAAATGGGGATACCTATGTTAGTGTCCATTTAAATTACATGGGTCTATCTAAAAAAAAAAAAGGTTACCTTTCTCCTATTTATGTCCACTATTGACAGAACTACTTTGCAGCAGGCATTGCAACTGCCTGCCAGAAGACAGGTTGCGTATTTTGAGTTTCTCGTAGAGAAGTCTATTACAATTGCGACTACTTTGTGCACTGTGTTCTGAAGGCGGTGACCGTATTTCATCACACATGCATGTGCACACAAGAAGAAAGGTAGTGTGAAGTAGTATCTTGCTATGTCCGATATCTGACATATCACAAGAGTTTTCTTGTGAGGCACAGATATGCTAGATCATAGCGCAGTATAAGTGATTTAGTGGTAGTAAGGAAACCAAATAACTTATAAGGAGATAAGTGGTCTTAGCATTGTCTTAGTGAAGTGAAGAAAGGACAGATGTGGAGGTGTAATATCTGTAAATAGTTTTAATCAGTAAAGAATCTAGTTCTTCCCAAAGAAATTGTTTTCCAGTTAATACCATTCTATTAATAGTAGATTTTAATATTTCATCAGTTTTTCAGGCTTGTCCCCAAGATCTCATTCTGTTGTAGATCCTGATGGGTTTTTCTTTCAAAATATATCCAGATTTGTTTCCATTTTCAATTTTTTTATTTACTTCACTTTTCTGTTAAATCTTGCAGCTTTTCGGCTACTCTGCAGTCTCCTAAGGGCATATAACAAGTGGTCTTAGAAGACCGTATTTGGAACCATCCATAATTTACAGTGATCTAAAGAACAGAAATCCTGTAGAGTGAAGGGTAATTGTTAGCAGTTCAATTTTAGGCCTTCACTGTTCCATAATCTTCCTTGCCTGAGATCACACTATTTTCCTCTGTATATCTTTCAACTCCCTTGAACGGAGGGAGACGCTATTACTGTCTTTCAATAGGTGAATCCTAATGTTAACTGTTGCTAAGACATGAATTTAATGAAAACCAGACAGCCTAAAACTAAGTTGCCTCTGCTACCCTAGAATTCATCTGTTGAAACCATATTTAGCTTCAGTTTCCCCTTTCAAATAGGCTGAGTTCTGCTTATCTGCACATGCAGTGAAATCGGCACCTAGGGAGAGAAGATGACCAATCAGGAAACCCACAAGTTACTTCCTAAAAATGGCCAATGTAAAATGTTTGTCTGTAAGTGAAGGTGAAAAGTATAATAGTGAGGCCTATTTTTAAGTGTCAAATTTGGATGGTAACTGGTGTTGGTATGTGTAAGTTTTCCTTACGTAACTGAGTATTTTAACTCCTTGAGTTACATCACTTGAATTCACAGTCTTCAAACCAGACTGCAGGTGAGGCAAGATTTGATCTTCCTCCTTAGGATGTAGGTGTTCCGGTTACTTGCAGCTTATGTTTATTTAATAACAGGATATTGACCCTAAAGTATTCCACACCCAGAAACACTGTCATAGATGTGTTGGAGGGGGTGAAGGAAATGATGTTGTTTTGTTGTGTATCTGAAGGGTGGTGTGCTTACATCTGCTGAGCCCTGCCTAGAGGCTCTGTCTACTGCACAGGGAAAGGACGGACTGAAGGGGAGCCTCAGAAGATGCTTGGCATTGTGCAGCCTCAACGAGCTGGATTTGGCTGCACAGCAGCGTCCCTGCTCAGGGCAAGCCCAACCTCCTTGCCTAACTCTGCATAGCTCCACTCTTTGCATGGGGAGCACAACTGGACACCATCAAGGTAAGGTTTCCACATGAAAAGGATGTGGGGAGGTGGCAGGGTAGTGTGATGGCTCCTATAGCTGTCCTTTTGTAAGTTCTTGCCTTCTCTGCTGTTATCCCTCCAGGTTCCTCAAAAATCCCCCCCAACTGGGGGCTTGCGGATGGAGCCAGGGGAATAAGGGGGGGCTACAGTAACTACACAGATGAAGTTCCAGCCCTGTCAATACTCTGGTTAGGTTACTGCAGCCCTAGGGAACCTGGAAGCCTTGTCTGAGGGATGAGGAGGGGAGAATTGCCGACATCTTTAGGGTGTCTTTGTTCTTGGTGCTCCAGGAAAGCAGGGAATACACCAGAGAGGGTAAGAAACCAGCTGTGCACTGTAGCAGATCCCTCCCACTTTGGTTGATTTCGGTGAGGAAGGTGAAATGCGGAAGTTGCCACCCAGAACTGTCAGAAGCGGGTCGGGTTATTAGCCTGGAGCATGCAATAGAAAAAAAAAAAAATACACACACACACACACACATACACACATGCACACACACGTCCTTACTGCATTCAGCCAGCTTGTGTCCTCCTGAGCAGCTGCTGAAGGGCTGCTCTCCCTCATGGCTACTCTACCCACTGCAGACAGGAGGGCGTTTGCCCTGAAAATCAACAGGTAAGAGACTTTTGTCGTACCTCTTAACTTTTTTTTCTCTCCAGTCCTAGTCTGAGACAGAGCCGAGCCAGGCAACCTGCGAGCTGAATGAGCGGGGCGGGGATAACTCCTCCCTGGGAGACCCCCAGGGCGTGGAGCCATCTGCAAGCTCCCGATAGCCGGCTGGGTCTGATGCCCTCCTGCCGGGAGGGAGGGTAGCCTTCGTGCCACCGATACGCCCGCGAGCCTGTCTTCAGACGGGCACCCTATCGTCACTCTTATTTCTTGCAGTCAGGGCTTTCTATACCGAGCAAATAGCGGTCCTGAATGCACCGGGGCTTTGCATTACCCTGGATTGGCTCTGATGAGGTTCAGCTCGAGGGTGCCCTTCTCCTGAGATACGTTCATTCTAAAATCCCCTCCTCTGCTACGTGGTTGCATGGATGAAACAAGTTGTGTATTTTCTTTGACAGGGAGGAAATGTCAAATCTCCTCCTAGTAGTTCTTAATCTCTACCTGTTCTGTCCCAACAAGCCCTGAGCCTGCTTATAGAGACTGCTTGCTTACGGGATCGGTTGGAGTTCCTCCTCCCCACAGAGCGGCAGAAATTTCTGATGCCTAAATTAGGGTTCCTAGGAAATAAAGATTTGGCATCAATACTGCAATGACATTCTTTCCTAGATTTTTTTTCCCCTTGTGCCCTTTAATCTATACAGAAAGAAAAAAAATGCTTCCAATTTAAGATAAATAGATCTTCCCCTCACCTTTTAAAACTAAATAAATTAGAGTTCAACTATTGAACACCACACTCTTGCTACTGACCTTGTTGTCTGCTATAATTGGATGTCTTTTCCCCTGGGAGTGCTGACTTTCAGCTGGTCTACACTCTCTGGCACTAGTAAGAAACCAAGACAATTATTCTGATGTTGTTAGCTAACAGGAAAACTCAGGCCTGCTTTTCAAGTCTTATCATCTCAGACAAAACCTATGTTTCCAGGGTGTTGATGTAAGTACAAGGTAACTAGGTTTGCTGACACATAAAAGAGTAAATAGCATAATGGTTTTATTAAAAACTAAGAGTAGGGCTGATCTCTGTACTCGAGAGAAAAGTATGCACAGAAATTCCACCTCCACAGTAATTTTTTGGAAGACATGGGATTTTCAGTCACTGAGGATAAAATTAGCTTCACTGTGAGATATGCCTTTCCCATGGCAGAGTAAACATCAACGTACCTTTCCATAGCTTTTGATAATTCATTCTAAATTCATGGCAGAATATTCATAAGAGTGAGATACCAAATTGAGAGGCCATTAGATGAGCAGTTCAGTACAGGATCCATAATTTCTGATCATTTGGAGATAGCTTGAATAAAGAATATGACTGGCTGATATTTAGAGGTTTTGGGTTATTTTTTCCTTCTATTTTTAGGATCAGCTTTCTGGCAGCTTTTCCCAGCTGTGGTGATGGTCAGTGTTCTTCTGTATGACTAGATCCTTACAGAATTGTGGAATCATACCAATTAACCGGGCTTTGTTTCAGAAAGGCTCACAAAAATTTTGCTAGAAAGAAACATCTTGAGATTACACTATTATTATGATATTCTTATTTTTAATCTGGTAGTGAAATAGTTCATATTTGTGTCATAAATCAAATTTCAGATATGTTATCCAACAAGTTCTAAATCTGATCCCAGTTTAATAGTCTATATATTTATTTTGCAAGTAAGACTATTTTATTTTACTGAGTGTGGTAGAAATTATGTATACCTGCTAGAAGAACATATATTTCTCATTCTTCAAAAACAACAGGTTGTTTTTGTATGAGCTAAGTGCAGTTTGTTCTACTGACAGTAGAACAGTGTATTTTCACAAGGAATATTTTTAATGTATATTTTTTGAAAGGAACCTTCCAAATAAAAGAAATATTGAGTCAGTGTGTTAGCTTACTCACCCATACACAATAGGTTAATCTACAGCTACAAAATATTGTTCCTCTTTCTTCAGA